CTATTTGATTAATTCCTCCCCTTGTGTTTCTAACAAATTAACCCTGATTAACTCGGCACTAGCCAGACCCTAGGGCAGCTATGGTGGGTAAGTGGCATGCTAATTGGACATGCATGGCTATTGGCAGTAAAAGTGCATTTTATCCTTTGTTACTGCATCAAGATATTGTTTAAAGTGATGCTTGGTGATGTCAGCTTGAAGTCGTCCAAAAAAATTGCAAATCTATATGCATAAATGGAGTGACAAAGTGCAAGTCCCAAGCACGCAATTTTATATGAGAAGAAAACAGTGTTACTTTGAAATAAATAATCTAATACTCCAGATTGGGTTGCGACAGTGCTCAGATAGATGGACACTTTGTGAAACTTAAATAACATGTTATCTTTAATGTGAAGTTACATCAAAAGTTATGGCACTTAATTGTGTATAATTAAATTTTCTTTGTTGAAATGGCCCGTTTTACCAAATGTTTTTCAATTATCACTTCTGTGTGTTGCAGAAGGATGATAGCTGTCTCTCTATGTTTATTGGCCCCAGCAATCCAATTGCATTTCCAGGACGAAAGCGAGCAGCTGATAATTTGCTCTTAATGTGTCGGTTTGATGTTAATGTGTTTTAAGTTATGGTTCTGGCCAGCTGCCCACCCACTCTTGAGGCTGACTATCATGGCCCTGGCTCAGGCCCCGATATTGGCCTCGTTCCTCAACTTGTCTGACAAGCCTGCCTCAGTTCTCATTTGGAGAGTCATCAGCTAACCGCCCACCACCACATACAACGCTATGCAGCTGGATCTTTCCCTGGCAAGGACTGTAAATTGCTCATTACATGCCTAACTGTCGACATGAGCTCACACACAAACATACACCTGGAAGTGTGAGGTGCAGGCACAGATACTTGGCAAGTTGTTCCAACACCCAGGGCAGCCTTTTCAGATGTGATCAAAACTTTCAACAAACAGACATGAATACTCACAAAAGCTATTCATGCTCACGACCACGTGTCCACAAAGACTTAGAAACACCCAGGATCATCTGTGAACGTGTCCAAAGGGGATGCACCTGAGATCTCCCTGCTCAGGAAGTTCAATAACAATTTATCCTCTTCCTCCTCTGAGGGATGATCCATTATTCAACCTGCAAGCAGAAATCATTCAGCTCAAACACCGACACACACACACAGGATTAGCAACTGCTAACGTCGGAGTTTCCTAATCTGCTCCTTTTAGCTCACACCATACTAAAGCATTCTATATTCCTATCTGTGTTTTTTTACTTTCTTGGTAATCCACCATCTTCTCTTTTCTAATTTGTAACTTTGATAGCTGCAGTATCAGACAGAGTGGGTCCATTTCGTGCTGCTGAGTCCATTGCTTTTTGTTGATTTGCTTTGTTTGGAAAGACCTGTCTGTTTTATGCTTTTCCGCATCAGATCCGCTAAGTGATCGAGGGCACACAAATGAGGTCCGAGGGCACAGAAATTGCAATATTTTGCAGAGTTTGGAAATGATCTGTGAGAGTTTAGTTTTATCGTATGGATCCCTATGATAAAACCCCCCTTTTTACTCATTGTGAGTTGCTAAACAACACAGTTGAGCGCCATAAAAAAGTATTTGAGCTCCTTATTTATCACACTTTTTAAAGCTCGAAATGTGCATCTTTTGTGGTTAGTTCCATCTGTTTTTCCTCCCAAATATGTACTTTCAATTCTTAAATTTATACAATTTCCCAATCTTAATACACTATATTCGTAAATCATACTCCCTGAAGGTTTATGCCAGCATCTGTTCTTACAAACTCGATCTTTCTCGCTGTGTCCCTCTAGGTTAAGACAGCATCTGCCAGCCTGTGTCCCTGTAGTCTCCTACAAAGTGTCATTAGCTTCATTTAGTCTTGTTTTTTGTCTTTTCTGCTACTGCAGTGAACCTCCATCACCCCATTACAAGGTTCACTTAAGGATAGCAGCGCCTGCCATCTGTCCATTTTTACCTGTATTTCAGATGACCTATTAGCAATGTATGTATGAAAGAGTCAAAACTAATGATGTGGTAACATTTTTATTTTAAGAAGAGGATCTTTAACCCTGAAAATCAAAGTTCATGACACGTCTTCAGCCATGACTCGAAAGTGGTCCAGAGAGGGGAGCTGACTTTGTAATCCCTGCCATCTGTTGAGTAGATCAGATTCCACTGTATGGCGACCTTTATGTAGGCCACCCTCCATCCACCCCACACACACACACACACACACACCAAGAGGGGGAAGATTGGCACTGTCTAATTCCATCTAAATCTCTCTCCGCGGACCCGCTCAGTAGTTTCCCCTCACTTCCATCTTAGGTCATATTGAGGGAAAAGAGGACAGCTGTGAGGAATGACATGCGCAAGCATCTAGGCCTGTGACTACTGCAAAGAACAAGTTCTTGTTTGAATTTTTCAAGTCCATCTTCTTTCTAACATTTATATCCTTGAAATAATAAACCTGCATAATAAACTTCCCCTCCCCTAAAAGTACTACAAATATTGAAGTTCCCTTTTGAGCTTAAGCCGGCACCCCGTTCTTTGACCCAAATGTCAATGCTTAATCCTACCAAAAAAACCCTGATGTTCTTGGCAAAAGACAGAACTGTTGAGAACAAGGAGGAGTAATGAGGACTGGAAAAGGAGGTGAACAGGATGGAGGATGGATTTGGGAGGCACAGCAGTGGAGTGAGGGGAGGCAGAAGAGAATAAGGATGAGAGCCGATAAAGAGAGGGGAGGAGAAGAATAAGGGAGAAGAGGAATTGCGAGAGCTGAGTTGGGAGAAGTGTGGAGCATACGGTTGCTCCCCCCCCCTCCTCATTAAGTCAGTCAATGTGACAGGAAGACTTATGTAACACCCCAGAGATGGAGGGAGGAGATGGAGAAAGAGTAACAAGGAGGAGGATGAAAGAGGGAGCAAGGAGAGCAGCTGTGAAGAGAGGGGGGGAGAAGTGATGCAAAGAAAGAGGAGCGAGTAGAGAGATAAGGGGGCCAAATATGAGAAAGAGTGAACATAAGACAATTAAACAGGAGATATATGAAGAGAGGGATCGGGGCTAGAATGATGAAGAGAAGGGGGAAAGATAAAAAAGCAATTGAAAGATCTACCGTGCCTTTTAGTATGGCTCTGCTGGCTTTACACTTTTCATTTGTTTTGTGGGGGAGAGATTAGCAAGAGGATTAAGAGAACGATTCTCCCGCTCCTCATTCTTTCTGTTTCCATATCTCTTTTTCACTCTCTTTCGCTCTCTCTTTCCAATGGGCATACACACATTTGCTCACTCACTCATCACACACGTACAGTATAATGACATGCATGCAGAAACTGTGCGCATGCAATGATGCACTTTACATATCACAGCCATTATTTTTATTCGGAAGTGATTCTGTTAATCTGCCTGTGATAAATTAAGTTTGTAAAGTGTTCTGTAGTAAAAAATTACCATCATAGTTTCCCAAGTTCCCAACAGAACATCTTGAGATAGCTTGTTTTGTTCAATCCACGGTCCAAAAGTCCAAAATATTCAGTTTACAATAAAGAAAATCTGCAAATTCTCAAACCGTTTTAATCGATTGTTTATCAGAACTGCTGTCAGTAATCGTCAATCAATCAACTAAAGCACGCTCTCACATACATATATATGTGCACGTGTATACATAACATACTGAAACAGGCATATGCAAGGACGAAAGTAAGCAAGACAAAAAATGCACACACACACACACACACATACTGTTCTATTCAGTCGTTGAGGTAGATTTGGCCGTGAGCCAGTGAGGTGTAGAGGTGATTGGGCAGCTTGGGGCTCTCAGACCATGTTTGCTAGTACATCTGGCTCGTTCTCTCTTGCTCTCACTCTCTTTATCTCACCCTCTCTGTCTCTCTCCCTCTCTCTCCTGTATCCACCTTCCTCTCTCCCTCCACTTATGCTGTTCATGCTTTCTCTTCCTTGCCCATTCTGCTTTCCATCTGTCTCTCTCACTCGTTCCCTTTATCTCACTCGCTCTTCTGTTCAGCAATCCCCACTCTTTTAACACACACACTCTCTCTCTTTTTCTCTCCTTCTCTAAAAAGCTTAGCTTTTCTCCCTCTCTCCCTCCTTCCTTTTAAACAGCAAAAAGCAATTTCTCTCCCTTTGTCAGGGCGGTTGGCGGTAAGCCCTTAAGTAGGGATTTTCTGGTTTGGCTGGAATGCCATTAGACGAGCTGGCAGTGACGTGCCGTGACTGACGTGCCGAATCTTTTTGATGTTGTGATGTCACAATCCAGCGGAGGCTGTGGTTATGATATTGTTGGCGTCCCCGGAATGAGGGGCTTTAGTGGTCATGTCAGGAGTAAGTCTTCATAAATCCTTTATGGCACAGAAATATTAAGCTTCTTTGGTGGTACAGGGACAGAGGGAAAAACATGGTGGAACGCACACACGTGTACTGAAAAAAGGCGCGCTCACAGACACAAAGCCACCCACATGCACGACTACACTGAAAGACAGGTATAGGTGCATGTGTACTCCAAGAATTGGTTCACACTGTAACGCAAACACAAAACCAGGCATTGTTCAAAAATGTTCTGATTCATTTTAATTTGGATTTGTGACAACGTTCTTCTGACCGTTGTGTGACTCCTCTTTTTCACTTAAACTGCACACACACACAAACACACACACACACACACACATCTGGAATTCCCCTTTCACACTCTGGTTTTAGTACAACAGAGGTCTCTCACTGTTACAGATGTGTGAATTGTTATTGAGTGGAAATCTGGCGCTAAAGTGCATTTAGAAAAACACAATAACTCACTGAAAAGAAAAATATGAGTGAATGCTTATCAGTATAGTATTAATAGCAATATGAATGGTATTAAGGGCATTTTATAGCAGTCCATCAAAACTTCTTAAGTACTTAATGACATGTACACACACATAAAGCCACATTTGTAATTTGAATTTGTATTAACTTTTGGATACATCTTTCCATACAGCACCCCCCAGATTTACACGAACCCCAGAAGACCAAACAGGAGTCCAGGGGGGAGTGGCCTCCTTCGTGTGCCAGGCCACGGGGGATCCACAGCCCAAGATTGTCTGGAACAAGAAAGGCAAAAAAGTCAGCAACCAGAGATTTGAGGTATGATGCTGAGATACTAATGAAAGAAGTGTGGCTGTGTCTTTTTTTATGATAGCACTGACTTCTTCTCGTATTGAAATGCTGTAAACTCAAATGGGAATGGGTTAGCATCCCACAACAGAGCCACAGCAGAGGTTTATTGGCTGTGTGGACCAGCTGTGTAAACCAGTGGTTTCTGCAAAAAA